TATATATATATATATATAAAAGTATCAGAAATATATAAACAAATTCATTATAATTTTTCATTTTATTCTCCCCCGGAAATGTGACTGGGAGGATTTGGTAGTTTCAAATTGATTTAATTGATTTGGTTGTCTAGCAACACAGTGCTTTCCTTTCCCATTCTTCTCAGGCAAAGTTATATGTAAAGCAATTTGTGTTCAGGTTTCCATTAAAAAACTGAACTATGTAGTTACATTAGGCAGTTTAAAACCTGTCTATAAGTAAGTTTGTAAGGGTAAGTTTGTATTGCATTCATCATGCATACATGTAACCAAGTGGAAGACCAACTTGTGTCATGTGTCAGAACTGGGAGACACATGACTGCCAATCATTCAAGCCCAGATTGTAAGCAATAGCCCAAAGACAGCTACCACAGTCTGAAGGCTAGTTTGCATCTGGCTCCCTCTACACAATCTTCAAGGAATCGTTTAAGAAATCTTCAGCATTCACCCTAACCCTTGAGAAGGGTAAAGTGGTTACCAGACACATCAGTCTTCACTGCCAGTCCAGAACCCCCATAAATGCCATGCATCTTTCTTTAGTTTCCCAGCCCACAAAGAAGGAATACCCAGTTAGATTTTACTAGAACAACTTAATATTTACTCCAAAAAAATAGTCAATTCAAAGAGGAATAAATAGATGTTCTTTCCAAATAAATGACACAACATTTAGGAGTTGCATATGAGGCTTCATGTTGCCTAATGGACCCGTTAAATATTTAGTATCCACATGAAGGTAAACTATCTTCTTGGCTTGCCTTTCTCTCACAAGGGTGCTTCATCCCAAAGAGGTAATCACAAGTTGTGGTGCGGAACAATTCATGGTCCAGGGGAAACACAGCCACATACTTCGGGGCCCACTCTCCTTATCACTCCAATCCAAAGCCCCCACCTACTTGCCCTTATATATCCCAAGACAAAGGATAAGGATTGATGGGCAGATTTCCTAGAACCCAAAAGGGGCAGAACTCCCCCTAAAAATGCTTTGATTTTACTGTAAAATAGCAATAACAATTTTTAAAAATGTTGCACCTGCACCTAGTTGTAATTGCTTAATAAACAAATGTAACTTGTGATTTTAGCTGACAAACAATGTGACCTTAATTCAAGAAGTGAAAAGAGAGTACACAGAAGCCCTGATAATTAAAGGGAGTATACCCAAACTCTGATAAAAATTGAGCTTAATACTCTGCATCTGCATACTCCGGAGCTCAGGGAGAAGCAGAGAATAAACAGCTGCATGAAACTAATTTCCAGTTCATCTCGAACACTCTATCTGCCCTTATTTTGTTATTTACATTTCTCCATGCAAAGTCTTGGGGGAGTCTCTTATTTTTGTCTCTTCTTGATTTATTACAATGAATTATTCCTGTAGCAAGGATAACAAATTGTGAGTCCACTGACTGAGAGGTGTGAAGATGTCTGTTTAACATGTGTATTTCCATTCCAGGTGATTATCCATTATCATTTGCAGCCTGCACAGGAAATGAAGAAATATTAAAACTTCTGCTGGTTGATTATGGAGCATCTCTTAATGCACAAGATTCACAGGGTAACTTTTCAAATACTCTCTACAAGGAAGACAAGAGTGTGTTCTAACAGATAGTATAATAATGAACTAATTATGTGAGAGAAAGTTTGCAGAGCAAAGACATGACAATATTACAATAATGATTGAATAGTCCTGTTAATATCACAGGTCTACTAAACAGGGATGAGTGGAGCCTATAAAGCTTACAGTAGATGTTTTGTATAGTCAAATAGCAAGATCTCCCTGCCATACTTGCTGTCTCTGTTTCTGACCACTGAGGAGTTTTTTGGTGTTCCTGTCTACTTTTTCATGTTCTAGCTATTCCAGGCACACATTTGCTAATAATAAATCAATCAAATAAATAAATAAGTAAATAACAAATGTTGTGGTCATAGTGGGGCCACTCCAGGTGTACAAACTCAAAAACTCAAGAGCAAAGAGCTAACTAATAAAGTTCTTGAGGATTAAAGGAAACTGCCCTAGGGGGTTAACCCTCCAGCATCTACATCTCCAGCATTGAAAAAATGGTTGGAGGAACCCTTTAAGTATATCCTTAATTATTTGATGAATCTAATTACAAATATTAACCTGTCGTACATGTTTTATTGTATTTTCATACCAAAGTTATAGAAATTCATGGTTCGGTATAAAACAATCTTCTAAGAATCAAAGTGATTCTTACTAAAAAGCAAGTAGTAACATGACTACTAGTGTGCACTAGAAAGTGGACAGACCTTTATTCATAGCAGGCATAAAGAGGCTAATATACTTTATTACTAAAATATTTAGGTTGCGTTTGTTAGTGCTCTGCCAGCTTTCCTGAATTTCACCTGTGAAATTCTTTGGTTGGGACCTAGCTGTTCAACAAAGACTTGTATCTTCCACTTACCAAGCTATGATTTAGGTGAGCACAGAAATATTTGTGCTTATAAAAAAAAAGCGTATTTAAACCTAAAAGCAAAAGTGTAATATATTGCAGCTTATTAATCCTAAAATGTGGTGGCTTCTTCATTTTATTCTGGCTTTATTTCCTCTATTTTCACCTGGTGATCCTATGAATAACACACTCCATGTCCTAGGGTGGCTACATTCACTCCTTCTCTGTTTCAATGGAGGGATCCATGATTGTCACACTACACATCACTATTACATGGAGGGTGGGGGCTAGTAGATTACACAGTAACCAGATAACATTGTTTGTGCTTTCAGTTCAACTCACAGAAATTGGCAAGAACAATGCTGGCAAGATGAACAGCAATTGTCTGTACTTGCTGACAACGTTCTTAGCCTCAAAAAAAAAATGAATGCAGCAGCCACATCTTACGGACTGGTAAGCTGCAATATAGTAATTTTTTCTGGTATTTAGTTATTTTTTAAGCTGGCTATGGATGTTCTGATGAAGGGGGCGTGCCCCGGAAACGCGTCAACGACTTCACACACAGGAATTGTTTAGTGGATGTCTTACTGCATGTCAGCTCCCATTCCATGCCTGTGTAACACTCATGTTTGTGAGTACCATTTTATCTCTTTTTCACTTCGTGCTTATTGAAATACATTGATCTGCACTAGGAAAGGCGCTCCCTTTGTGTTTACTTTCCTGGCTATGCATGTTACAGTATGTCAGTAATCTGCACAAAAAATAATGCATTTTTATTTTTGTGAGAAAGAAATACAATTCTAAAAATTATGATTTCATTTTATAGTCATGTAAATATTTCATACTTACATTTATAGTCAGCAGGTATATACTCTATACTCCTTTTTATATGTTAACCTGTCAGCGGTCCTGTTGCAAAAAGCCTGCTGTTTGCAGATCTAAGTAACTCAAGCCAAAATTGAATAATCAATCCCTCTTCCTGTTTTTTCTGCTCTCTGCGGGCAAAGGTTCTATACATATAGTAAAAAAAAATAACATCAGTTTAAAAACAAAATAAAATGAACCCAGAAGAATTATAGTTTCTCTTTAAGATTCTACAACCACTTTGGAACATAAGGGCCTATATTAGCAATCTTTATTAATTTGTAACCAATTAAACAGGCCCTTGATAGCTGTCAGTAAATTCTGGTCATCCATTATATCAAATCTAAGCAAAATCTGTAGTAATCTTTAGGTCTTGTGTTGATGGTATCAGTTTGACATGAGTTTGAGATGTCTCTGAGATCATTCAGAATTCACTAACAGGTGCCGCTGACCTTCTTCTGATCTGAATTTGACCTCCTAAACTGCATCAACCTGTGTTTGTGTTTTGTACTCTCCCTGGTATGAGAGTACAAAACCCATTTGTAGCAAACAAAAGCCCATGAGCAAAGGACTTTAGTGATGGTAGGTCCTTAATGAGTTAAAATGGAGGAACAAAATATAATCAGGACAATCTGGGAAGAAGTCACATAGAAGTAATAGGGCCCAAACCTCTAAATATATAATTAATAAACAGGAAGATAAGGGAAATGTTAAAGCATTTCTCTGAACTTTGGAAGATGTTGTTAATGCAACGGTAATTAAACATTTTGTTAATTATTAAGAATGATTGTTCCAGTGAGTGACTGGACACAAGTAAACCCATGCATTAAGTGCTACACAAAGGCCATGGTGTCTTTAATATTTCAATGACATATCAGATGTGCTGCCATCACACAATATATAGGTTAAGGGGGGAGGGAGTCAGCATGTTTCAAAGGACAGCAGCCCAATTGCAGATGAATCAACTAAACTACCTATTCCTGTTTCAAGGCTTTCTTGTATGTAAAGATAAAACATTAGTTTTATCTTCAGTATGAAAGGGTAAAACTCCTATCAGGTTATTTTTTGCTGCATGTGCCCCACTTTTGAGATTTCCTTTAATTTTCTGTGGTGGAGACATAACCAGGAATGAGAGAAAATATTTCTAAAGGCAACAGAATTCCCATCTTAAGGTGCCCATACACCTTGCGATTAAACAAGATTGGGTTTTCGTACAATAATTGGCCAGATGATGGGAAGTGAACAATGAGAATTATTGTACAACGTATCCAAATTTTGTCTATTGTGCAGGCTAGAGAACGTTTTTCGAATCGTATGAAAATCGATGGATTAGTGCCGTTTTCGTACGAAAAAAATGGCAACATGAACACTGCACATGCACAAACGAAAATCCATTCTGTCGATCGACAAAATTTGGCCAGTTAGTATTGCTAATGAACGATAATCGAAATCTACATTGGTCTGTGCATGATGGGGTATTCGAGATGAAATTAAACGATAATTGTAAGGTGTATGGCCAGCTTAAGAGAGTTGTCACAGAAGCAGGTGTCTTCTGCACTAGAAGATTTACCCTCACCTCTTGCTCTGGTAACAACACACACCTTTTGGATTTCTCCTCCCATTCTCAAATGGTTAGAATGGTCACTAGAAAAATAGCACAGGGGGAAATCTCCCCAGCGGAGACAGCAATAAAGTGTTGCATACCTCAGACACTTTTTCCACTGTGCTTTTCAGAGAAGATTAAATTAATTACATCAGTCTATTATGTTAGAAAGTATGTATGCATGCTTGTCTGATTTTCATTTCAAACATTACAGCCTTATGTAACTGCAGTAGTAGAGTATTGTACCTTGTTAACCATGGATAAGTGCAGAATGTTTGGAGTTTAAATGATACCCTTTATTGTATAAAGTCTGATCGAGGGATCCAAGGAATCCTGAAAGCTTGCATCTGTAATTACCTAAAGTAGTATTAAAATCTCAATTTTACCTCGCACAGTGAAATATTTCTTTACATTTTCTTGCCCAAGCACTTAAAGTCATTATGTTTCCAAACAGTTTTAACTCTCTCAGCTTCCCTGAACTTCATGTACAGTACAACATCACAAAGGACAGAGCATTCTCCAGCAAATTTCCTTCTACTAGCTTGGAGGAGGAAGGAGATGGGAAGGAGATGTGAGGAACAGGATGCAGAGGAGCGGCTTGCCTTTCTGTGCCTGTGTATTTGTGGAATGTAGAGGTATCTTGCTGCACTCCTTACCGGATTTCCGGCATAGGTTAAAGGTGGATGGTTGCAATGATGCGGATGGTGCCGCTAACAAACTGATTGTAGAAATGTGTCACCAGCACACCAAATCAATTTTCAAAATAAAAAAAAGTCCCTCACTGTCTCTCAAACACAAGTGCTTTCAGGACCGCGCAGGGTCCCCTTCATCAGGCTCAGAAATGACACTGCAAAAATACCACATGTATGGTATTTTTGCACTGTCATCTCTGAGCCTGATAAGGGAACCCTGCATGGCCCCAAAAGTGCTTATATTTGAGAGAGCTTATGCATCAATGAGTGGATGGTTTTTATTTTCAAAATTAATTTGGTGTGCTGGTGACACATTTCTACAAATTGTATATTTGTGGAGACTGGGATATCAGGGTCAATGCTCACCTGGCCAGCTGGTTCTGCAGGAAAATAACACTTTTAAACATCGAGAAGCAGCATTCGTTATAAGTGATTTCTTCAGAATTTGAAATAGCGTTAAAACCCATTGACTTTAATATCACTTTAAGTTAGCCAATAAAAGGTATCACTTTAACTCCAAACTTTTGATCCTATATGACCTAATAGATCAGTTTATGAAGCATGACAATGAAAAATTCTATGTAATGGTGATTTTTGAAATAAATGCATTGTCTAGTATAAACTCATTTGTTTTAGGAAACACTGTGTTTCACATCCTGGTCATGCAGCAGAATAAAGAAATGGCCTGTCACATGTACAACTTGATCTTAGACCTTGTGCCACTCACGGATTCTCAATGTGCCGAACGCCTAGAAAATAATGACGGCTTTACTCCATTAAAGTTGGCAGCCAATGAGGGAAACATCGAAGTAAGTCACTACGGTCTTCAATTATTCATCTTATCCTCACTTCAAACTCTTAAGTATTGGCTGTCTTCCTACTTTGTTAAGTTTCTGAAATCCAATTTTCTTGTGAAACCATAAATAATGCAGTGTGCCACCACATGTGAGCGATGTGTGCAAGATGTTTAGAAAGAAAACTATTTTGACACAGAAGACCTTTTAAAAAATGTATTTCTTATCCGTAATTCTTTATTTCTCTGTTTGTGAAACATGTAACTTAAGTTAACCAAAATATATTTTTCAGAGTGACAAAAGAAAATAGTGTACAATTTACCAACTTCTGTATTGTAATGCTGTTTAGAACTAAACCTGCAATTGCAGCATTAAGGACTCACATTGCTAAGAATTTTAGCTGCGTGCAAAGACAAAGCTTAAGGCCATTTGCAGAATAGTTTGAAGGTTCATTTTATGTAACCTTGCAGGGTAATAGCACAAAGGGGCCCTCCTGCAACAGGTTTAAAATGAACATAAAGCCACAAGTTTCAGACTCCAGCTGCACAGCCATATGTTAGTGTTATCTGGTAAGGCAATACAGCATGAAATGTATAAAACCTGATGTAAACAAGTGGTCATTCCTGGAAACCCCTTTCTAAACAGCCATGCAGCTGACATTGACCACTCTGCCCCTTTACAATATTATACAATATTAAATGGGGGGAAAAAGTCCTGCAATTAATGTGCTCTAAAACAAAGATTTTGCTGTAGGTTTCCACTCTGTCCTATCACAGGACCACATACCCAGGTTTCAGTCACCTGGTCAAATACCTACGTAAATTGGCTAATAAGACATTCAGACAAAGCCAGACTTTTATGAGCTCTACCTGAACTCTGATCGTCCCTTTTAGCTGATATCATATGACCATTATAAGCATTTTTTCCTACAGGACAGGTTTGTAATAAAGTGTACTTTTTACATTCATTACTGTAAAGGGGCAAGATGGACAAGACTGGGAGAGGGGCATATTACTTATATGACTTGGTATGTTTGCTGTTTCTGTTTGTCTGAACTTGCATACTATTGTCTTTCCCCTTAGGAATAATATGGAGTGTAATTTTTCCCACATTTGTAATCAATGATCATCTTTAAAATAATATCAATGCATTTATCTATATGTTTATAATGCTACACAGCACAGTACACTCCAGAACAGTGCATTATTATTGACTGTAGTGAATTGCATAATTGGGAACTTTTGTTATCCCTTAAACCTGAGATGGTGTGGGGGCTAGGTCCAAGCAATACTTGTGATGCAGTGTAGCAAATTGGAAGAGTGGTCTAATGGCAGAAATTCGCAGGGGCATGGTTTATTAGCAATATGATTGCAGGGGATTCAACTATAGTTATGTGGTACTCAAAAAAAAAAAAAGCTCTGACTTAATGGCAGATGGCACCATAGCAATAAACTCTGGTAATACATAGACAAATATTACAATGCATAGGCAACATATTGGCAATTGTGTTAATACATGGCTACATATTTGGGAAATAAACTGGCAATCCTGATAATATGCGGAAATAAATGGCAATCATGACAATACGTGGGCAACCCTGTCAATTGATGGGCAACCCTGACAATAGGTGGGCAATAAACAGACAATGATGACAACAAGTGGGCAATCATGACAACATCTGGATGGCGAACAGGTTTGTTATTACATTGGCAACAAATGGCCAATCATGACACTACATGTTCAGTCAAAGGGTAGTCTTGTCAATATATGGGCAACACAAAATAATTTTTGCCAACAAGTAGTGAACAATCAGGTACTCTTTGCAATACATTGGCACCAAACAGGCGATTGTGACATTGCATGGACATAAAGTGGGCAATTGCTCCAATACTTAGGTAATAAAATACAAGAGCAATATCTGGAGTCCAGTCTGCTTTCCACCTCCCCTTACCTTTATTTCACTCATCCACACTGCATGCTGTTTGATCTTTTTAGCCACGGAAAGTATATATTAGACAGGGGTAGTGGAGGACTATAAAGCACAGCCCACACTCCCTAACCTCTCTCTCTCTCTCTCTCTCTCTCTCTCTCTTCTACATGATTGGCTCACTGTCCCAGCCACTGTGTGGCTGCTCTAGTAATGCTTATGTCACTTCTCTATGGAGCTAATCATCAGCACAGATGAAAGGAACTACAGACAGATTAGAGTCCCAGTAATCTTACTAAAAAGTCATGCCTAAAAAAAGAGTTCCCAGGTACAGTGATTTTCTAGGTTAGGTATCCAGCTTCAACAGCAGTGTCCCTGGGAATTATTGTACCAAAACAAGGGAGGTGGAACTAAAGGTGCTATACCTGCATTGGCTTTTGGAGAGGAGCAAAGCAAAGAAGCACACAGAGGTGTCCTTCAACTTTTCATATATATCTTTGTGGTGGAGTGGGCTGGGTGTTTTCAAAGTGTGGGCTGTAAAACATACATCTGATTGATTCCATGCCCTTCTGTAGGTATTACTAGAGAGGAAGTAATTGCATACTGAAGAATACTCACAGGATAAGAAATACACCTGTAAAAGGAGCTGTTTAAATCACACTGAAATGAGGGTCCTTTCCATTTAGGCAACCTTGTTTTGTTATGTTTCAGAAATACTATATTGACATCTTTAGTAAATAATTCATACATCTCTATTGTGATGAATTAGATTTTTCTAGCCCAGAGTCTTTAGCTTCTCAACTTCTAGCACAACATTTATCAACCCCTCTAACTCCTGGATGCCATGGGTGTCAAACCTAATTATATATCTGGCTCAGTAAATGAGTCACTGTGATTTCTCATCCTATCAGTGCATGTGACTGTTATGTGTTTATTAAGAGAAATCACCTTGCAGGTCTGATGTTTTTTAAACCATCACGTCTGTAATCATTTATCCGCAGGATCACTTAGCTGGGAAGTTAGTGCATAATTAATGCATAATGTACTGGCACAGGCAGAAGTCAGAACTTCCTCTAACCTTTATTCTGTTATTAAATCACAGATGTTCAGCTATCTCGTTAAGCGGCAAAAGAAAATATATTGGACAATAGGGACAATTTCCTACAGCATTTATGACTTGACAAATATTGATACATGGATGGCTCAGAACTCAGTTCTGGATATTATAACTTCCAGCCAAAAGCCACAGGTAAATGTACAACATGTGATTGTTTATTAACTTTAGAAATGTCGGTGTACTATAAATATATACATTGTTCTTACTAATAGAGGATTCAGACATTAAAATAGGAAGAAAGAAGAGTTGTGACTTACAATAAAGAACAAAGTCTAGTTGTTGTGTTTTCTCTATGCTGCTAGCATATATGATGGCTGAATATGTGCACATTAGCCGTGATCATCAGTGAAATTAAATTTCTCATGGTTCCTGGATGTTACTCAAACTATGGGCCCTCTTTTCTTTATCACTTATATATGATCAACCTCTGGAACAACTAATTATTTATTTATAAAAAGATCATTTATCCCCATGCTAACCAATTCAAGATGAGAACTTATATCCAGCTTTATATGAATATACTCAGCGTCCCTTACTTCAGCGTTATTTACCTAGTTTTGTAAGTCATAACCTAAGCACTAATGTTAAATGTGGAAGGTTTACATTTTGGGCTACCACTTAGACAACCACTATAATAATAATCTGCCAGTGATAAAACAATTGGCGCAGCAGTGGCCACTCTGTACCTGATGGTTACTAGAGCTAGTGCCTCATCCTCCACTCCATTCTATTAGAGATGGAACTAGGTTTCCTTTTTTACTTCTGTCATGGATACCTTTCACAGTCATGGCAGGGAAATGTACAAAATCTAATGAGATTGCCAAACAAAAGATCCAAGAGTCCAAATTCTTTATAATAATAGTATTAGTTCCTAACAAGATAACACAAAACAAGCAACGCATTTCAGGGGCTCAAACTCTCTCCCCCTTCTTCAGGGCTTTGGTGTTGTAACTGGTTGGAATGGATGGCACAATCATCAAAACAAGTTACAAGATGCCAGGATTCCTGGGGGTTGATTTACTAACCTTATAAACACACCACGAACATGTATACACCTCTGTAGTGTGTTCCCTCCCAGCATGATCTATGGGTGGAATCTAAACACCTTTGTAGTGTGTACACACCCAGCAGGTGTGTTGTGCAATGCCAAGCATGAATTGCAAGGTGTAAATTAGCTCTATGTTGTGTTGCTTGCGTTGATGACTGCAGGAATGTAAATGCATGAGCTAACCATTTTTGTCTAAACTGTGAAGCAGCATTTTATATGCATCATGTGCATGATTTTTCCATATATGGCATTAGTGGAAATATGCTTTTAGAGACTTTTTGGTTGATAAATACGTTTTGCTGTGTGAAAATCACACGCACCTGGTGTGTGCGTGTGTTTAGGTTAGTAAATCACCCCCCTGGTGTCAGCAAAACCTACTGCTGACAGTGCATTTTCACATGTTAATTACAGGGAAGTGTCATGTGTCCCAATCTGCACATCTTTGACAATCTTTACTTCCTCCTGTGCCCCCTCATACCTCATTGCAGTGGCATAACAATAGCCATAGCAGCCCACGTGGCTGCTATGGGGCCTGGGTTAGAAGGGGGCCCCATATGGAGGGCTGGTTAGGAAAACTAAACTGTGAAGTTTCCAGTATAGAAGAGCTGAAATCAGACCTCAGGATCCTCTAGTCACAGATCACCCTCTGTGCGGGAAGAAATATTTGCTTGCCTCAATGAAAGAGTTATTCCCTTGCCTCAATGAAATCCTTTTCTAGGACTAAGACTGTTCTCTTACAAACACAGAATAGTAAATCCCAGCAATAAACCGGCTCTGTATGAAGTATTTGTAGTCTGTACATTTGGTATCTAGATTCTTGTGCTATACATTAGTTGTGCAGTCTACCTTTAGCTATATGAAAAAGTATATTTATGTTTCCAGCCTTACGGAAAACTAAAATGAGAACAATTACTCCTTCAACCAACAACACAATCTCATTAGTTCTCAGTGCTCAGTGCAGACTTTAATTTTGCTCTTTTTATTTCCTATTGCCTTGTACTTTCAGATAGTACCAAGAGAAATTAACGTGTGCCCTTTCTAAGCAATATCATTTCATTATTCTCTTAGAATGCCCTTTATTGGACATTTTTCACCCGCTATATGTTGGTTTCAATGCTCACTGCCTGCAATTCACTGCAATACTAGTTCTTTTCACAGCTAATTGATGTTTTTCTTTCACAAGTACCTGCACTGTATGAGCAGTTTAGGATTAAATGCTCTCCTATAAGAGGATTAGCTACAGCAGGACTTTTGATAGAGATATAGTTTCTGAATATTTTTTATTTACCGGTTGCTAGGACACCATTAACGATCAAAGCCCCACAGAAGGGAACCTGGGTATATGTGTATATAATAAAAAAAGGAATTTCTTGAAAGAAAAATAAAACAATTTGTGACATCAATTTGTCTTTCTTACAAGCAATTATATCAAATGGTTTAAAAGTTTTTAATTTATTCATGAAAAATATAAATGTAAGCACTTTAGTACCCACCCGTAAATACCCCTTCATCACCAGAGCATTTTTAGTTTTTTAGCTTTGTGATAAGTTTGACTAACAATTACTCGGTACCAAAATTAATTTTATATTATTTTTTGAGACAGATACAGCTTTCTTTTGTTGGTATTTAATAACCCTTGTTTTTTTATTTTTTTCACTATACAAAGGAATAAAGACCAAACCTTTTGGAATAAAAAACATTTCCCTTACTGTCTGTTATAAAACATATCACATAAAAATGACAGTGCAAAGATCCCCAAATGGCCCTTTGTTGGAAAGTGATAGCCCAAGGTGACCTTTTTTTTGCCACATTTTTGTTTTAAATAAAGAAACACGCTGGTATTGAGGTCATTAAAACATGGAGCTTGGTAATGGTGCACTTGATATAGCACATCATTAATGTACAGATCATGCATGGGGGGGTGAAGAGGTCAATTTTCAAGTCACATACAGAGTGGGGTTGGAGATGTACAGGATAGGCACAAGGGAGTGCATAGACTACTGCTAATCTTAGTATAACTCTGCAACTATAGACTGTGTATCCAGGCTCAGTGAACAAGATGTGTAGGGAGGACGGGGAATTGTAATTTGTGTGGTGGGAATGAGGGTAGTGCACAGTGGAGAGTCGCTGGAGGGGAAACTGAAGATTGTGTGTGCTGGTGGAAGGATACAGGTTGTAGACTAGTTTGTGTGTGCTGGAGGTGAGATCTCACTGGGGAAAGACCATTGTATATGCTGGAGGTGTTGTCTCACTGTGGAAAGACCAGTTTGTGTGCTGGGGCTGGGCTTTCTCTGGGGAAGACCAAACTGTGTGCTGGAGGTGGGATTTCACTGATAAAGCATGCTTTGTTTAACAAAGTTTAAACTTGAATGTAGTGACACATGGCAAATGACTCCCAAAACACTGTAGGTTAGCTAAAGACACAACACAGCAGTATCATCTAATTTCAGGCTGGCCACTCTGAATACAATTTTGGACTCAACTGTCTGATAAGGTAAGTGTTACTTCTATGATGTCTTATTCAGTTCAGTTATCTTTTTCACCTTATGACATTGTAGTTATAAGAAACTGTACAGCACATGAGGACTAGCCTAGAGCTCGACTTGCTGGCTGGATGGAAGGGAAGACAACATAATATTAATTTACAATATAAGCATTTACCTGAATTAAAAATATTTTTGCATGGTTTACTTTATAAATAAATGTTTTATGTTTTAGTCGTGACCACAATAGGTAAAAAATGAAATTATGTACAAAACCACCCAGAACTTTCAGCATATGTTGATCAATCATTAGTAGCCTATTTTTCACGATTTTCTTACTACACATTGATATCTATATTCTCGCTAGGTCCGTAAACTTGTTGACATTACACCAGTCAAAGAGCTGCTTGGTCAGAAATGGAAGTCTTTCGGGTACAGGAGTTTTCTTGTTTGGATGTTCAGCTACCTTGCCTACATGGTTGTATTTACAGCTGTCAGTCTCCACCGCCCTTTGAAACCCTTGGACCTTGGTGAAAGTAACGACATAACTGTGATGACACCCAAAAAAATTTCTGTATGTTGATTCCATGCTGAAGGATGATTATTAACACATGTTCTTAGCTGTACAATGCATTGATTTTATTTATTTAAATGCACTTCACATTTCAGGAATCCTATGAAAGTACGGAAGATCTTGTTAGGCTTACAGGAGAGCTAATTACACTGTTTGGAGCAATCATCATACTTTTTGTAGAGGTAAATTTGTAACTTGCATTAAATTGGTACTCTGTAGCAACTAACTACCTATGCACTAATTCTACCTGGCTGACTCTAGATCTTTTTCAAATAATGTTGTAATTTTCCCCAGACTCCTCTTCTTTTTAAGCTGGGTCCAAAAAAGTACATTGGAAATGCATCGACTGGTGGCCCTTTCTCCCTACTAATGTAGGTAGTATATGAACATAACATTTATCATGTATATGATGTATCTAAATGTTGGAATCTTGAGTTTCCTTTATAGAAGCCAACCAACTTTCCATTTTCTGTTACTACTACTTGGTTACTAGATGTGAGACGCAATCTGTTCTTCAATCAGACACTTCATGCATGCGGCTTAATGCTGCCTACTGTTTTAAGTTGTCATTTACCGAAGTGATGTTTGCTCTTTCCCTTGCTCCATTGTTAAAGTATAAAACATTATATTCAAGGTACCACTTGCACATAATTTACTGTAGTACACAACTTACCCAAAAGCCATATTAATTTGCACATGTGGATCAAGCCAAAATCTTTATTCCTAGTACTGTGTAAGGTAGGGAAGGGCTAAAATGTCTGTCAAGTGTTTGTTGTTGTGTGTGTGTCCCTGTTGGGGACATACATTTTTATTTTCTGTCCAGGTAGGGTTATTTATTACTTCCACTGACTGCTGATGCAGGAGCATTTATCACTCCCACTAACCACTGACATAGGAACATTTATTACTCCCAGTGACCACCAATGCAGCTGCATTTATCATTCCTAATGACCACTGACTTATTCATTACTCACACTAAAAACAGATGTAGGGTCATTTATTACGCCTGCTGACCACTGATGTAGGGGGCATTTATTACTCCCACTGACCACAGCCATAGGGTTATTTATTACTCCCACTGACCACAGACATAGGGGCATGTATTACTTACACTGACTAGTGAGGTAGGAGCATTTATTACTCTTGCTGACCACCAACGCAAGGGCATTTATTACTTCCACTGACCACTGAGGCAGGGGCACTTATTACTCCCACAGATGCCAGGGCATGTATTACTTACACTGACCAGTAATCTGGTGATATCCCAGTTATATGCTGAATTACATACAAGTGGCACTTTGGTTTATTTTTTCTTCGGCTTTGTAACCACACCTGTTATCTCTGCTCCTTGTCATTTCCTTTCCCCTTTTAGCAGCATGAGATTTTCAACAATCATAGGAGACTCTGACAGTTACTTACTGATTTGGAAAAGGTCATATCAAACTGCACTAAAGGACACATCCTTGTTACTTTGTAGTTATCCATGTGCATGGTTTCAAAAACCAGGAGAAAACAAGTCTTTGAACAGTCCTGATTCATGACCTGCCAGGCTTATAGTGGAATGCTAAGCAAATGACTAAGTACAAAGAAAATGAATAAAGGTGTAGGAATTAAACAAAAGTAAAACATCACAATGTAAACGTTTTGCCTGTTTTGCCTTTATTCACGCTACTGGGCTTGCACAGAAGTTAGTCTTTTAAATTCAGTTTCAACCTTCTCAATGAACAGATTTGGGTGTGTGGCTGATATCATCCAAGTACTTGGTAGCAGTTGAAAATTGTACCAACATTTGTTTTCTTCTCCTTTTCAAAAAGACCAAGCGTCCCCCCATTAATCATTTAACAGACATATGCTTGTTTCAGTGGTCTCTGTAGAAGCTTTATTCTCTCCAGTTGACTGGAAGACCTATAGTATAAAGGAGTTGCTTTCAAAAGATTAATTTTTTTCACACATGTTGCTTGTCTGGTCTGGTCTTCTTAGCGAGAAAACCTTTCTGATTCTGGTTTCACTTTCTTAAGAAGGATTTTAATTCCCCAGATTTGGGGGGTGGGGTTAAATCCTTATTTTTGATGCCCTCAGACATCTTCACATTCTCCTTTGCTCTTAAGGTTTCATCAGCTTGTACAGCAACTTAGAGAGTCAGCTGTAGTGTTGCTTTGGACTGTTCAGCAGGAGACACATGTTCTAATTCAGCTTTGATGTTAACCAAGTCCCCGAGTTTGGAAATGGGCTTGTTTCTTTTCCTCTCTAATTCCCCTAATACTGACTTTTCTTCTCTCTCAGTCATAGGACTTACTTTGAAATCATCTCTGACTGGATCAGTCACTACTACTGCTGCAAGATATTTGACAGTGTCTTCATTAAGATCTTGATGTCCTTGATCTGTGGACTTTTTGTGAATTCCCTTTATCTTTTGGCCTGCTGCAGCTGTGCTTTCCCTTTGAGCTAGGTCTGTGAACCTGAGTATCATGACTGAGACCTTGATCTTCATCCAGTTTTTTTTAAGACCACAGGTTCTGTTTTTTGATGAGCTACTGGAGAAAGAGTGCCTTCAAAGTTTCTTCTTTTTGCAGTCCTTGGTTCCTCCTCTCCATTGTGTTTCCTCCACCCCACTATGTCCCGGAAACAGTACAGGCTTCTAGTCCCTGAACCATGCTCAAGCAGTGTGAGATTTAGCTTTAAATGTAGTGTTTCCAGCCCACTCAGCAGAATGCATTTTAGGGCCTTTTACCCACTTTTATTCATCCAAATATCAAAGTAACACAGTGTTCTCTCCATACAGGGGTTCAGGGGTTGTTTAGTATAACAAAGAACACAAATTGATTTCAGCTCCTTGGATATTTTGTTGTACAGCTCTGTCTATTTCTCCCGAGGGCAGAGCTGTCCTAGTCTCAGCTTCTCTGCTTATCTAGTTCCTATAGTCATCACACACTGGACTTGCTCACATACCAACTGCTACCTGCTTAGCTCCACCACACTGGTTTGTTCTGATGCGGACTATCTTTGTCCATCTTAGATGTCAGTCTGGCTTGACGGCTTGTCTGTGTAAGCCAGACAAGCGTGCGCGCCCCCCCTGTCAGGCTTCAAGCTGCTCTCTCAGCACAGAGGAGCAAAGACTGACTTGCCTTTGATCAGTTGTACACTTGTTCAGGGTTCCTTTTCCTGATGAAACAGGCACTATCTGGATCTTCTCAAAGCAGATCATATATCTGTCACAGCAGTTAATATATATATATATAGTATATATTATATAATATATACTATATATATATATATAGTATATATTATATAATATATACTGTATATGTGCTGCTGATCTCCTGCAGCCATTTGTAGCCCCTTCCTGTCTACATGCACTCACTGCACATCATTGCTCTGAACTGGTTTACTAATAGTGACAATGGTGGACCATGTTTGTACAATGTGTGTCTGCATGACCGCTTGTATTCTCAACCAGTGGATGTGTGTGACAGGGTGACAATGCAGCACTCAGATAACAGGAAAAGGAAGTGCTTGGGCAAGGACCTTCATGGCAAGAATGCCAGGTATTATTTTAAGATGCAGATTTATCTGAGGGATCATTTGGACTGAACAATAACTTGGAAAAGAAGTACATGAAGTATTTGGTAACCTTAACTGTAGTTGGCAACTGGTTCAATAGCAGATTTGATAAATCTATGTATAAAGTAGAAAATATTTAAAAATAGTATATGGAATTGTTACTAGAAAATGCATTCTTGAAACAAAACATACATAACATTGAGCATTGTCAGTGAATAGGTCGCATGCACTTAGTGCTACTACTCTAAACAAAGCATTCTGTGACAGAAGGACAGTGGGGGCTAGAAAAATATAATTTCCCTACAATGATGCAATATGCTAGTGTAATGCCAGCCAGTGGGAAATCTAGACATTCTGTCACCAAGGGTAAAAGCTCAGAATTGCACCCCCCCCCCCCTCCCCCAAGGGAGAAGTTCTCTATCCACACACCCATTGGCACCCCTTTTAAAGCGGCACCCGGGGGACATGCCCCCCCCAGCTGCCCCCTAGCTTCGGCCCTGATGCCAGCTATCCTGTGTGTTTTTTGTTAGCTCCATGTAAGCTTTCCACAAAAAAAAAAAACATGTTTTATTCTGAATAATTAGACACATTGAGGGGAATTTATCAAAACTGGAGCAGACAAAATCTGGAGCAGCTGAACATGGCAACCAATCAGCTTCCCTCTTTCATTTTCAAAGCTTAACTTAACAAACTGAAGAGAGAAGCTGATTGCTCCAGATTTTGTCTGCTCCAGTTTTGATAAATCCCCCCCACCATGCTTTTTAAGCAAAATGAGCAATGGTTATTATTTCCTGTATGTATAGGATTACCCTATCTGTTACTGCACTTTCTTAGCAACTAGATGGAAACTCAGCAGACTTCTTTGTCTTGCTATAGTTTTAAAGCTATTAAACCTAATAAAGTGCCCACCGTCTGCCAACCTCCACAATCCATTCTATTACTATGTTAATCCACCGTAATGCTTCTACTTTGTTTATAAATATCATATGACAAGCTGCTTGGCACTTATTCCCAGTGCAAGTTGCTGTCAGTGTATTTTATTAGACTACAAATTGACGGACTCTGTTTTGAATCAGCAGCACAAGGTTTCCTCGGTAACACAAAGGTCTTTTGACGGTGGCCTATTAAATTAAGTTTTCCCTATCAGTTCTGGTTAATTTTCACAGCATTCCTGATATCTCAGCATATATAAAAGAAATGAAAGGCATATCAAAAAAAAATCAGCGTCGTAAGTCTTCACCGTGTTTGTGTTGTGCTGACTTATTTCTGAAAAATGATTTACATGCCCGCTAACGAGGTGGTGTTTTCCATAGGGTGGGATATTCGCTGTTAATTTTCTCCGCTGCTGTACTGAGAGTTCTTGGGCATGAGGCAGAAGCAATTCCACTTTCCCTGGCTTTAATAATTGGATGGTGCAATTCAATCTACTTTGCCAGAGGATTTAAAATGCTGGGCCAATTTTCAATAATGATTCAGAAGGTAAGATGCCTGAATGTGCTTAATGGAAACAGAGCAGCATATAACTAATGTGACCACATTTATCTTCCTCTACACAAGTGGAGTACGCTGTATACCTCTGGGATGCAGCTAAAGCTACAGCAAAGCACAGAGACTTTATGTACTACATGCTCCGGCATAGAATATACTGTAGTTTGAAGTCGAAGAAGACATGCTGTCTTAGGGCAGTCTGGTAACTATGTGAAGGATGTAGGCTTTCATCGCTTTGCACAAGATAAGCTGGGTTCAACCATTTCCCTAGGCACAGTGCTGTTGCAGTGCCTGTATACTATGAACTAGGGATGCACCGATACCGGTATTTTGGTACTGAGTACGAGTACCGATAATTTTTTTTTTTGTACTCGCTGATACCAATTACAGAGTAATGGAAGTCCCATTCAGCAAGCCAGGTGGCGTGAAATGACTCGCCATCTGGCTTCCTGAATAGCCGGGAAGCCGGGCAGTGTGTAAAGACTCGCCACCCGGCTTCCTGATTAACTAGAAAGTCTGTCCCCTCTTACCTTGGTATGTCCAGCCTGTCACCCCCGGGGCCTCTCCAGCCAGAATGCGGCCTTCCTCCAGTACCCAGCCGGAGCCGTCTGGCCGGCCAATCAGGAAGCCGGACAGTCTGGCCGGCCAATCAGGCCAAGTCGGCTCCATGCTCTCTCATCACAATTGACGAGAGAGCATGGAGACGCTTCCTGGCCAATCAGGAAACCAGGCAGCGTGTAATGACGCGCTGCCCAGCTTCGTGATACAGGAAGTATCGGGATAGGCATTGGAGCATTTGGGCAAGTTGAGTACTCGCCCAAATACTCGGTATCGGCACCGATATCGATACCAGTATCGGCATCTGTGCATCCCTACTATGAACATTACTGATCACGCAGATGTTTACATCACTATTACCATGCTGCTGTATGCAGACACTACTGTCACTATAACTAGACTTATTCAGTATGGCAATACAATGCCTGTTAAAGATGTTTTCTGACTGGCTCTTATTAATTACTATATATTGCATAGCGTTATTCCTTATGGTTATAGATGTTTAAAGCAGAAAAAGAGGTCCTGCTGTGAAATAGCAACTTGTAAGTAGCTTTAATTCATTTGAAAGCTTTTAACTATGACCTAACACGACCCATTAATTAATAATCAGGGTGCCATTTCCTGCTAAACAACATCTTTCTGTAGAGGAGGAATATCCTTATTAATATGTAAAGATTCAGTAGCATAAAGAAACCCCTGTGGGTATCTCTAGCATAAACTGTCAAAAAGACCCATTTTCTATAACTCCCACCACGATGACCTACAGTTCTCTGACACAAGATGATCTAAGCAAACACAGCACGTAAGTGTAAGTCGCACTGTATAAATTACTTTATTATTACTATTTTAAGTGGAACCATACCCTCCAATCCTTTCTAGACAAGGAAGGTGCCATCTTAGCCTCTATTTGGATTGGAGGTGCCATGGTGCTGCACATGTGATCAGCTATGACACCAGCCATTTGAGGGCTTCAAAGTTTGGTTTACAGCTAAAATGAGCTCACCGGCAACCTTGCCAGTGATTACCAGAGGCGTATCTTGAAAGTAACTTTTTCGGAGACCAAAGTAGTGAGTCTAGTTCTGCTTTCAAAGTGGTAGAAGTTAAATAGACAAACTATTATCAGGATTATGAATATTGTAGATTTGTTTCAATAACACAGAAATATCTGAAATCAAGATTTGGCATGAACTGAAAATGTTAAAAATATACAAGCCTTATGAGCAATAGAATGAGATATTGCATGTTTCAAACTTGCCATGAACCAGTAGATATCTCCTGGAATGGCAGGTTGGGAAGTTTTCAGTCTGTATTTGATTGCACAAAGAGCACTTGACTACATGGGAACACTCTTTCCTCAGTGGGGAAGAAGAAAGACCAAGTTGGAAAATCTCTGTCGGCAAAATCTACAACTTTTTGTTTTCACCACCAAGGTGTAGCCACAAACAGCTATTGTCTCACCCAAGTGTTACATTGGGTGTCAGATTGAGGGCAGGGTTTCGTTTTTTTATCGCAGGCTTTATACTTGTGTATGGGTAGGGGGTCAGTTGTTGAGCAACAACAATTTTACACATCCTCAGGTGATGTTGGATTTGTCTTTGGAGGTTCTGGCTCGTTCTCCTGACTAGACCACTATGACTTAGCATATTTAGAAGTTTTAGAAAGGCTACTGCATACTGTTAGCTGGAACATGATTTATTTGCTTATCTCATACCACAAACTGACACTGTACTATCCCTTACAGACCTGCTTTGTATAGGGTATTATTCACTGAAGAACATCATTTAGAAAGACCACACATCTCCCTGTCATAGATTTCTAGTGGGAGGTCCTCCAGCATAACTGCATTGTAGTTTGTTAATTTATAAAGTTTTAATATACTGTATATGATTAAATGCTGGAGTGTGGTGTATGGATATTAGCTTTGCATTTTCAAATGCAAAATAATGGCAGTTTATTAAACATGGACCTAGCAGTCATTCGAATAATTAGATATAAGTGAATCGTTAAAAATCCACCTTGTTTTTTACTTTTAAAATGCAAATCAGAAAGCTACAAAATAAAATTGAAGTATCCCATGGATCTACTCAATTATTTCTAACCATCTTGAGAGTATCTGGTTTATCTGTTTCTCAGTTTAACCATCCATGACCAGTACGATGGGGGCGATGTAAGCCAACCCTGGATTCATGATGATTATTTCACTCATCTTTACTAATAATGTTTCTTTTACAGTTCACTAATGCATGTTAACATTTCCTCTTCCATGTCTCTTCCTGCAGATAATCTTTGCTGATTTTCTATGCTGGTTCTGCTTAGTGTTCATAATTATCATTGGCTTTAGCTCTGGTAAGAATTTATTTTATAAACAAATGTTTTTTTTTACCCTGCCATGTCATAACCAGATCTCCCCACTTTTTCTATGTCCCGCAGCCTGCTCAGTCTGGGTACTGACGAGGTGCTCCGCCTCCAGCAGAGCCCGCACTGTACTGAGAGCTGCACACTCCTTGTGACAGCCGCTGCTTGAGTCAGTGAGAGACACCATGGACCACCGGTTGGCGACCGCTGCTCTAACCGGTTTTCCTGTGGTGTACTGCACATTTTGTACATTTTGTTTTTCCGGGTTTCCTTTTACATAACACACAACTGAATAAACAAATAAAGTAAGCCATGACCCACCCCCCACCCTACTCTATTATGATTAAAATATAAAGCTTTAATTACACACAGCCTGAAAGCAAACTACTTCTGCTGTGCTCTCTTTTTTGGAAAACCGTAACTGGCATGAGTGCATACTGCATATAATGTTTATTTGCAAAAGGTTTTATACAGATAGAAAAAACAACCTGTACATTTAAAAAAATTGACCGAAAAACATTATAACCCCTAGAAGCATATATGAGGGTGCTGCCCTACCATGGAGAAATTAGGAAAAATTGTTTCCTAATCCCTTAAGGGAATTTGATATTTCCTGGATCAACAATCTCTGGTGTTATTACTTATACATGTAATGTTCAGTTATATTCTGTGCATTTAGGAATGCATTCAGCTTTTTTTATTTTTAAACAATTGAGCTGGCTTTTTCACAGCTGTTACTGCGAAGAAGCCTTTCTGTGTGTGGAGGTTGAACCTCTTTACCTCCAGAGACAAAGAGAGAACGCTTTTCCTTTTCGATAATATATAGACCATAACTGATTCTTCTCAAGGGAGAACATATTCAGTTCAGTTAATCTTTTCTCATAGCTGAGCTCCTCCATGCCTCATATCAGTTTAGTTGCCCTTTTCTGCACTCAAGTTCTACAACATCCTTTTTGTGAACTGGTGCCAAACACTGAACTGCTTATTCCACACGAGGTCCTACTACTGTGCTTTGTACAGGGGCAAGAAGATGTATCTCTCTCTGGAGTCTATACCCCTTTTAATGCAAGAAATATTTTGTTTTCTTGCTTTAGAAAATGCAGCTTGGCATTGCATGTTATTATTAAGTCTATGGTCTACCAGGACACCCAGATCCTTCTCAATCATTGACTTCCATAGTTGTACTGCCCCTAGATTGCATGATGCATTTAATAAGAAAAATACCTATAAAAAAAGAGCATCATTGCCTACCTATGCCACAAAACATTCATGAAAGCTTTGCTTTCTGAAAGAGCAAAGCTGAATCTTCACATTCACCACACTTCCAGGTGTGTGAGTTGCCTGCATCACCCGCCGCATGCTATGGTTTCATCCTCCAGCCTCTAAGTAACCATTTTGTCTTGTAGTGATGTAGAGGTAGGTGGGTGAAACTAGAGCATGTATATTTGGGGGATGCAAATGTCCTCCACACACAGAAGTGTGGCACATGTAAAGATTCTGATGGTGGCTTCACAGGTATGTATTAATTCTCCTTTTTTGGGGCATATTTTTTAGGTGAAGTTTTTTTAAGGACACCTTGGGGTTGATTTACTAAAGGCAAATAGGCTGTTCACTTTAAAAGGGAATGTGCACTTTGCAGGGGAAGTTTCCCTTAAGTTTGTGGTTCATCAAGAAATTGGCATCCTTCAAACTCGGCATGCCTCAATCAGCTGATCAAAGGAAGAGGCTGGAAAATGCTCGGCCTAACGGAGCTAGCAGCCAATCTGACAAGCTGCCGGCCACTGTACGAATCCAATAGAAACAGCAGGGGATTCCTAAATCAACAGTCCTAAGCATTGCTGAAGCATTCTGTTCTATTTAATTTTTCCAGGACGCAGGTCGAACGAAAAAAATAGTGTATACCCACCCGGCTTTAGCCTTCCTTACAAGTGTATTATATTAGTATTATATGCAATTTATTTATATGTCAAAGCCTCCCTTGTGTAGACATTCAAAAGTCCTAATAGTGATCCTAGGTGCTGCCATCTTGCATATGATATTAGCAGCCCTAGCAGGCTAGTTGTGACTCAAGTGAAACTCTACAGCATTTCCTTTCACTCCTCACCCAGCAGCTTTATAAAAGGGTTATGTTGAGAGGTGAGGAGCAGAGGAGCACATACATTAATTAGACACTCCCAATAGAAGAGAGGGCTATGACATACAAGGAGGGAGAAGTGTGTGTTAAGGAATTGGCTTTTCATGAAGTAGTCACATTTTCTAGCAAGTGCAATGGCACATTGCAAGTCAATAAAAAATGATTGATGGCGAGAAAAAATACTGCAAGTAACAATGTCAAATAATAGATTTTTTCTGTGCTTTTACCTGTGATTTTATTTTTAAATTTGTGACAGGGTCTCTTTAAATGTGTGTGATTGTGGCTAAGCCTATTCTACAGACTAGGAGAATGGGGAGAACAGGAGATTGATTGTACTAACTTACCACACTTTTCTCATATATTCAGCCTTTTATGTAATGTACCAGACAATGGATCCAGAGGTTAACCCATTCGTAGATGACTTTCCAAAGGCATTGTATGACGCCATAGAAATGATGATGGGATTGACTAATCTGAAGATCCCTACAGACACGTCTTTTCCATTGATATATGTGGCCTACTCTGTGTATATGGTGTTTGTATACCTTTTATTGCTAAACATGCTTATCGCCATGATGGACAATACGTATTGGAGAGTGGCAAAAGAGAGAGAAGAGCTGTGGAAAATCCAGGTACATTAAATTACTTTTTATAGGAGGTGATTAAACAAAATTTATTGGTATTAAGACTCACTGCATTATTGTGCGACGAAAAAGTCCATCCATGCCATTGTAAGGCCCCTTTCACATGGGTGCCTGTCAGATCCAACAGCAGGCGATATGTTAATGGATCTCTTGCTGATTGGAGCATTTTGTAACAGATAACACCATTGTGACATGTGTACTCTTACATTATTAGGTCTATAGGGATTCGCACATAAGTGGACATGTGTCCGTTTACATCAGATTACCCCCAATCCATGAAGATCAGGTCCGCCACAAAAGGACTTTGTTGCGTTTGGTTCTCCATACTGGAAGGAGTAGAGGGTAATGTCTGTTTAGATCTGGCTGCCCATAGACTAACATTGGGCTGATCGGACCGTCCATCTGAAAGGGCTTTTACAGTGATTACAGTAAAGTAATTGTATCTTTATTAACAGCTATTATAATTGATTTTAGGCCACCTATTATGCTAGTTTACTAGCATACTGAGAAATTATAAGATATCATGAATATGATCCCTCCATTTGTAATAGCTGGGCCAGAATTGACAATTTATAGCAAATCTGTCAGATAGGAAGCAAGATCAGTGTTCCAGTGAGACTGTGCCAATATAGAAGTTGCATTTAATTTATATATTCATAATGACATTGCTAAGTAATTGACAGTGGCAAATAAGCTGGTTTGGTACCTTATACTTAAAGCTGAACTCCAGGCACAAAATGCTTCACTTAAATATATTCTTCATTAGCCACAAAGGATATAACACCACTTTGTGTGCAATAAATGCATTTGTACTCACTGATGTTACCTTGTTAAAGAGGCAATGCCTGTAATAAGTAAATAAATAAATACTCACAGATCATACTGGAAAGTATTCTTGTTCAAAATGGTAATTTAAAGCATTTTTTAAGGGGTTGTATTATTTCATAACAAAGAAAATGTCCTCCCTACAGACACCTTAAGAAACAGCGAACAACCCATTTAAGAAATCTACACATATAATCACTGTTCATTTTTACTATGGGATTCTATATTTTTAGGTTGCCGCTACCATTCTCCTCCTAGAACGTCACATGCCAAAGTTCCTAAAAGTACGGACTGGAATCCCTGGGAGTTCCCTTGGTTTGGATGATAAGAAATGGTATATTGGGTAAGAATAAATGCTGCAATAACCATCCTAGAGTTTCGCCTTTTGTTTGTTACACTTGATGCTTGCACAATGATACATACCTCTAAAAATGTCCCTCATTTGGAACCAGATCCCTCTGTCCCTCTTTCCTCCTCAATTGTCCTTTTGATCTGATGTGCACATATCTATGAAAAGATTCTATGCCGGACTGCCCCTACACTTTTCACCAACTAAAACGGGGCGTTGTGATGGTGGTGCACGTTCCTGGGGGGGTGGGTAGTGTTGCAGACATCTCAACTCTCCCCGGATGTTCTGGGAGTCTCCCGCTATAAGGCAGCAGCTCCCGGACACCTGGGAGAGAAACATTTTATATCGGAAAGGTTTACTCTGCTCTGTCTAGCAGGATAAACCTTTCCCTGCTGTCTGTTTTTTTTTTTACATCGGGGCCGCCAACAGTCAGAGAAAAAAAAATTGCATAGGAGTGAATAGCTAGGCTTCTATTCGCTATTTCAATTTGCAATAAGCAATGGCAGACTGGGTATTGCACCCGCCCACTGCTGCTGTCAATTCTCCATCAGGTCCTCCTCTGCTGATTGACAGCAGCAGTGGACAGGTGAAATAGCCAGCTTGCTATTGCAAATTGAAATAGCCAATAGCAGCCTAGCTATTCATTCCTATGATATCTGTTGTTTTTTTTGTTATATTTTGACGGCAGCAGGTGCCAGAATACTTAAAAAAACAGGGTTGGGAGTGGGGATGATAAAGGGGACCAAAGGTGGTGCACATTACTGAGGCGGTGGGGGTTGTGCTGGCGATGCTCCTTACTCGCGATGGGGGGGGAGAAATGCACAATACCTCCAGCAGAGGTGATACACTCGCTCCGGTTCTGT